TATAACGCATCACATCCAATTTTTAAAATATATATAACATGAGAGTTTCAATTAAAATTACTATGATATGTAGATTATTAATTGATTTACTTGTAATCAATAAGTATAATATTATTGATTGACATGATAAAAATATGTTATGATTTTAAATTTTGGTATACATCATACATATAAATTATATTATTAAAATATAATTATCAATTTATGAATATATGAAACATACGTAATATGTAAAAACTTGATTAATTTATATGGATCTAAACTTGTTCATCCTCTCTCTCTCTCTATATGTATATATCAAATTAGAGTTTGCCACAACGGTTCATTATCTCGTTTAATTCAAAGTAGAAAGTTTGTACTTTCTTCCTACATGTGTATTTTCCTTTGTATTTCTTCAATTGTAGTCTTGGTTATTTATCGAAGGACATGCAAATAAATAAATAAAGGCTGATTTTGCCGTCTTTGCCTTAATTTTGGAGTGGAATTTCGAGATTTTTCCCAATACCCAGCAAGTGAATGCGTGTGGATTAAATTTTTGTAAGATTATTAATGTTAATTAGCAAAATCAAGCTTTCGTAATTAAATGCAAATTGCAACAAAGATGATAGCGAAACCTCTGATTAACTTAATTATTTAGTTAATTAAACTATGTAGTTAGAGTGATAGTATAAGCTAAAGCTTTCTTTTTCCTTCATGTCAGCAGACTGTCCCTTTGTCTTCCACGTGGAGCGATAATTTCAGACTAATATTGTCTCTTTAATTCTATAATACGATTAAGCACTCTTTAAATGAAACCAATTGCAGTTCCCCTACGCATTTAAAATTTTTAATTTGAGAATTGGAAAAAGAAAGCATCTCTCGTTACCAGTGATCAGTGAGTAAAACTTTAACCGAAATTAAGGTTATTAAAGTTAAGCATATGATATCCAGTTGGAGACATTAGTTCAAATAGTATATATGTTGGATAGGTTCTAGAAGCTACTGAGTTTTACAAGGTGAAAGTAATATCCCTCTGACGATAAGACGCTGGGAGGCTATTAAAGATGGTTAAGCACATGATTATTTTATATTCAATGTTAAATACAGTATTAAATGTGCTTATGGAGTGTGGGTGATTAGATCTGAGTCACTGATGATTAAGCGGGGACATAAATTAATGGGAAGCCAGAGCTGTAAAATGGGGGCTCTGATGGAAATATGATTTGTCTTTGCTTAAAGAGAATCAAACCATTTTTTTAAGCTTAATACAAAAATAAATGATGAAATTATGTTTTAAAAAACGTTTAAGCGTCTAAAGAATTTTTTATTAAAAATTATGCCTAAAGATTTTCTGTTATTATTTTAGATGTTCAACGTTAATCACTATTAAAAAAATCCGTAAACGACACATGTCACGTTTTGATAATTTTAAAAATTTATTTAAAAAAAACCCATGTGTTTCCCCTCCCCCTTCCCCCTCTCCTCTCTCCCTCCCCGTCTTCTCCCTTCTCCCCCTCCCCTGCAACCAACTGCCATGTCCAAAGGCGGACTGTCAATGCCAAAATTTTGGATTTATAACCAAAATCCCTTAATCTACCTCCAACAATTTCCACGATAAGCATTCAATTTATCAAAACCGTCAATAAAAAAACTATAAACCCTAAAACAAAATCTTTTATTTACACTATTTTTGGTTGTTCGATTGATTGCAAAAGTATGGGGTTTTTAGTCATGGGTGGTTGGTCGGTCACACGTCGTCGGGTGTTTGGCCGATTGACAACGTTGGTGGTGGCCGGCGTTGGCAAAAGGATTAAAATTAAAGATTTAAAAAATTTATTTTTTTAGGTTTTTTGTTAAATATACATATATATATATATATATATATAATTTTAAATAAAAATTTTAAAATTAGCGGAACGTGACACAGGTCACTTAACGGGAGTTTTAACGACAGTTAACGACTGAACACCTAAAATGATAACGGATAAAACTTTAAGCACCTATTTTTAAAGAAAACTTTTTTAAACAGTAAAACATTTTTCAAAGTATAGTTTGAACACTTATTTTTGCATTACGTTTTTTTATATAAATATTTGATCTTTAACTAATTAGAAAAAAAGAGAGGTCTTTCATGTGGTTTTATAAGCAGCATTTAGGGATTAAATTATGTTAACGGAGACAATGATTTTAGTGTTAAAGAAATGGGCAAATTGGAAGGGGAAGGAACCAAATGGAGGGTTGTTGATGGGCTTTGTTTCGAATGTATAGTGTCAAGATTTTCACACACAAAAAAAATTCACCTCTAGATAGTCCTATCTAAATAGACTAGCTGGGTTAATTACTTGTGCTGTGCTCCACCCTAAGATCGGTTTTCAGAATGATTTTTATAGTTAGAATCGATCTGGGTTGAATTTATATTTAATAATAGTTAAATTGTAAAACAAATAAATAACACTGAAATATTATTTCAATATGTTAGTCGTTGTGCACTCAGAACAAAGTTCAATTAATTGGCTCATATATTCATTAGAAGTCACGTTGTATCAATAAGGCTAGCAAGCTTTACCACAAATTGCTAACTCTCATCAACAAACAAATGCACAATGCGTACGGCCCCTCAAAAGTACATTTGAAAATGGGTCGGAATTTATTCTTACAGGATCTTTTTTGGGACCTTTTCCAATAAATAAACTGCCATCCAATTAGGATGGACATGGGTTGGATCGGTTTTTTGGTTAACCTGACCCAACTAAAAAAATTTATACCCCATCTAAAATTCGACCCGAGTTTAGAGTAATATCACCCGATCCAAAACTTGACTTTACTTTTGAGATAAAACTCAACTCCGACCCAAAATAATATATAATTATTAATCTTATTCAATAAAATAGGGACTTAATTAAAGAATAACATAAAGACGGGTATTATTGTAATTATCCCCAAATATATAAGGTATAATTATATTATTTTTCGGGTTAGATCGAGTTGGATATTTTTTATCCTAAACTAGAATCCAACCCTAACTTATCCTTTAAAAAACCCGACCCAAACCCAAAATTTTTAATAAAAAACCCAACACAATCAAGTTGGGTCCAGTTCCCGTGCCCATCCCTACTTCCAAGTCCCAAGGGTTCGATGACTATATGAGACCCGGATATTTCTCAGTTTTGAGTAGCAACGGATGATCCTCCTTGCTTTAGAGATATGGACATGCCTTGGCTGATGTGACCGCAGAATCTCCCCTCTTGATAATCCTCTCAAGTTCCCCACCTTGGTTGACAGCAATCGAATATTTGTGTCGGTGGACTGAACCAACCTGTTTGCAGTTTCCAGAGCAGTGCAGAGCTGGAATAACCAAAGGGAAGTTTGTTAACAGAATGACTGAAATCTATAATGGTCTGACTCCTCAGCTTTTTTGAACTTTCCACATCCACATCAGAAACATATCCATATCCAGAGACACGATGAAATGTAACAGAATTGAAAATACTCATGTCAGAAATGTTTTCATTTTCAACAGTCACGTCTGAGTTCGAGTGGTCAAAATAACTTCTTGAACAGATATTGTTAAAACAAAACAGAGAAGGAGGGATGTGAGCTAAAATCAAAGAATTGATGCCCAAATTGAAGAGATGTTTCTAGCTAAAGAAACAAGTAAAATTGCAGCCCCCTAACAGATTCCCGCTCGCGTATATGACATAAGTTGCAACAGAAAAAATTGAAAATAATCAATGCAAAGTTGTTCTACAAATGCTTTGCAACAAGAAAAACTGCAATCAATCAAATTGAGAACTGTTTTATACATGCTTTAAAAGAGATTATATAATTACCTCTAAAGTTAGAGCCGTCCATGAAAGATCTGAACCCGTGAGTGCCTCATTCAATTTCTATAAGTTTTCCTGAATGAAACAACGAAGCAATTGACATGGAAAAGAAACAAGCTTTCCAGAGAAAAAAAAACCCATATGGAATGTTTCAATTCAGCATTTACAGGCACAAATCATGAAGATGTATGGCTAATATGAAAAAGACAGTAATGAACAAAACTTGGTTGTATAATCGTGTTTGAACTGAAATGGCCGATGGTTTAATACATGAGTGATTATATGAGGAGAAAATGTTAAGGGGAGCATCAGCAATAAGAAAAGATACCGTACCGGTTATAACATATTGAAGGGGGAAAAAAGCCATAATAAATTTTAGAATTTTTTCCTCTGGAAATCAGACATTGAGAGGTTTACATTAGATTCCGAAGCCTTGGATCAATTGCTAAAGTTTTTAGACTTTTTCAACAACTCAACTTGAGTCGAGCAATATATTTTTTCTAGAACAAAACATAAAAATATATAAAAAAAGAATTAAAAGCTTTTCCAATTTGCGATTAATTCTATGGTGCTGTAAATATGGAGGAACAAGAAAGGAACCTGGAAGAGTTTGATGAGGTCCAGGGATTGAGAAGAGGCGCCAATGGAATCAAGAATTGAGGGCGATGGAAGATTGGCATCACGGTGGCAATGGTGCTCTGGCGCTTCACCGGATTCTTCCCCAACGTCGCAGCAGATCCACTATGGTAAGCAAAGGCCCTCCGATTCCTCCCATCGCTTTCGTTTTTCTTTTTGAGTCGGTGCTCCTCTGCTCTGCTACAAGTCTGGCTACAGTCTTGATATATTCTTTATGGGCTTAAATAAATAGAAATTGGACCTACTAACGGCCCCATTAAAATTTACATCTGTAAAGGGCCTGAAAAGCAACAAGAGGAAAACACGTCGTTAACATTTCTCGAGTTTGCTTCAAATCTTGTGTACTTCAATGGGACTAAATTCTTTGCTTTAGGCTTTTCCGAGGGAGCCATGGTGCGTTTTTTAAACAAATAAATCTTTGGCTCCTGGTCTTTGATTCTATGTTTCCCTTCTCTGTGCTGCTGTATTTAACCACTTGAAGATTGCCTCCAACACCATTTAATGTTTAGCTTTGCATTCATCATCCATGCAATCAGGAATAATAACATTTAATCCCCGTATTCAAACATTCAATTCGTTCCAAGGATTACTTTTTAAACAAGGGGTTGAAACAGATAGTATTTCGAATCTCCCATTTTCTGTATCAAGGCTGGCATTTACAGCAACTTCAAACTTCATTGGACTGTTCTTTTCCTTGCTGCAACAACATTTTAAGAACAACTAACCAATTTTGAAAAACATTTATGCTTTTTAAGTTCTGCCAATTTTCCTGCCTCTCATTTGCATCTGATGAGCAATACTCCTCATGACTTGTCCCCGCAGCTTTTGGAGAATCACGGGTTCTTGTCGCGCTGACTGCACTCTGCAACACAACCCGGATTGTTTCCGAACAATTTCTCTGCAGCATTGCTTTTCACCAGTAGCCGCATGTGTTCATGTTCATCCCATAAATATAACTGCAGCCAAAGACAAGAAAATAATCTAAACAAAAGCAAATTCAAGAAAGCAATCCTTATGATAACTTGATGATGGGAAAAAAATACCAAAGACAGAGATGCAGGCAATGAAAAAATTCAGTGCTGTCTTCCCATTAGGGCGCGTTTGGTTCACGGAATGAAAGATTACCAATAGGAATAAAAGATTACCAGGGAATAAGGTTACTGGGAATGTTACATTAATGTGTTTAGTTAGTTTGGCAGAAATGTAAGATTACAGTGTTTGGTTGAAGGAATAAAAGATTACTGGAATGTATATTTTACCAAATTGTCCTTGTTCTATATTTGTTTTTTTAACAAGTAAAATTCTAAATATTTAAATAAAAATTATTTATATAAAAATTCTATTTTTTTATAATGTATTACTTGAGTATTTAAATATATTATGTATTATTTTAATTTTAATTAATATTAAATTTTACATAATTTATGTAAAAATATATTAAAATGAGTTTTTGTTATGTAACAAATGAGATAATACTTGAGTAAGAATACAAATGTAAATTAAAATTCAAACTTTGTATCTTTATTTTGAGGAATTATGATTATCAGTTTTTATTTTATTATAACGAGAACCACATTACAAAATGTAGCTAGCTAATTCATTAAAATCTTCTTGGATGACTGTGTAATCCATAAAAGTATTCACATGAATTTATTCGGTTGAACAAGATGACAAATACAGTGTAATGAAAGTTCATAATCCTAATTCCATGCAATAAAATATCAAGAGCTTATTTCCACTTATTTTGTGCTTATTATGTTATTTATCCTTTCCCACATGAAGATATGAGTTTTTGTTCACTTGATTCTTGGTTTGTTAAAATAAATTTAGTTAACTTCCTAAAAGAAGGGAATTACTTTTACAACATTCTTTAAGCCATGGCTTTGTAATTGTTATGTTTCCTTGATTTGCAGTTCCGGTGATCTGGGTGCACTTCAACTTTTGGTTGATCAACCCAATATACTAAGCGAAGAAGGTACATTCTGGACAAAGTTAGCTAAATTTGTTTTGTTTGTTTTTAGCTTTAGTTAACTTCTTGATCAATACAATATACTGAACAAGGAAGGTTTATTCTGGCCAAAGTTAGTTATATCTATTTTGCATGTGTTTAGCTTTAGTTTCTTGATTTATTAATAATAAGGTAATCTCTCTTTGACTTGCTTAGCATGTACTTGTTTATAATCAGATGTAGAATTCAGAGATTAATAGCATGATTTTAATATGTAAGTCAACCATCCCCAACAGTTCTGAAAAGTTAATTAAAGCATGCAAATTCGACCTTTTTGCTTTCCCTATCCTTTTTCATCGAATGAAATGGTGTTGTAAAGACGAAAACTTTCACGTTTTTAAACCACCTTTCATCATTACTGTGAACATGTGTTCCACTGTCAATGGCTCTTACTATCTCTCTTCTTTTTTTAGTTTCCTTCTTTAAAGGCCTTGGATTCCTACAAGAAATATCATAGAAAGTGGCTTAAATCCCAGTATGATCTCATGTTATCGGTCCTTGTAGTTTATTCATACTATCAGGTTACGAGTAGTCATCATTTATAATAGTCGTATATTTGACACTAGCACTAAAGACAATATATAATTGTTGATGAGGCTCAAAGTGCTATAATCGATTTTCATTTATTGCATGGAAATGTAAACAAAAAAAGGGAAAGATACAAATTTATATGTATATGTAGTTAAACTGAAGGTGGTGGTGCAGTAGCGTTGATGGCCAACTGCAACCCAATAGCGCAAATATCAGGGAAGCTGCAAATGAAATAATTTGGACCGAATGCGAGCGTGATATTATCGTCCCCATCAAAGAATTGTATGGACTTATCGCTAACAGTACATGTATCATGCCCCTCTTTATCCACTATTGCAACATCAAATTTTTGATCATATATAAACTCTGCAAACAAAATCAATCGACATCTTATACCATCTTTCGTTCATTCGATTCATGAACATCTCTAATTTTGACATAATCGCGAATAATGTACCTAGAACGTCACCGGCATGGAAATCTTTTCCTTGAGCCCAGCCTTGCATGGTGATAACCGGATCCCATCCTTCTTCACCTCCGACGATGTAATGCTGCGGCGTATACGAATGAACGACGTCGTATTCAAGCCAAAATACCATGAAAAACACCATTGCTGGGAGTAAGATTGAGCTACCGATAGTTGCCATTTTGTTGATTTTCCTGCACAATACTTGAGAAAATAATGCAATTTATAGAGGATGAAGATAATTAAAGATGATTTGTGCTATATTCTTTTACGGAAAATAAACTATTTGTTCTTCGTATTCAAAGATTTGGTAAAGCATTGACCTGATAATCAAGGAAATTGATTTTACCTAATAAGGTAAAGGGAAAAAATATAAAGAAAGTAAATTGATTGATTCGTGCATGAATGATAATAGTTCCTTACATAAGTGATTTTTTTTAATGGGGAGGTTGGGGGGATAATAATCAATTTCTTACAATCATATTTATGGAGAGTTACAATCATACAAATAGTTGGAGACTTTTTTTTTAATTCTGTAAATGTGTTAGTCAAGAATGAATCATTATCAGGTATCTAACCTTGTTAAGCAAGCATTTCTAAAATTTCACTTTTCATTTGTACAATTCACCAAGACCAGAAGCAACAAGGATTGGACAGCTCAACTAAAATTAGATCAAAGTGTAATTTCTTGCAAAGAAAATGCTACAAATCTAGAGTGGTAGAAGTTGCATCTTTTGTGACACTCTCTCATAGAATTCCTAATTCCATTACACCAGGAAACAGAGCCAGATTAAGGAAGTCCCTGGTCCTGGTGTAACCATGTTCATTAATAGCAGCAATTAGTCATTTCTATAGTCATTAATAGCATAGGTGTAAACACAATTCCAGCACCAGAAATATCCTTCACAATGTTTTTTATGTACCAGTTAGACAATTTCAGTGGCTGATCCAGTACGCTGCTCTACTTGTCTATATAACACCATCTATCAAAGACTTCCAATATTCACTACCGATAAGAATGATAAGTGGCGTAATATTGTGCCTGTGACTGTTAGAAAAATTCATCTTGGTGGACCATGGTTATATGGCAGAGATAAATACAAATACAGCAAGGATGGTACTTACTGTTTTCTTTTTCTACAAAAAGAAAGTACTCTTATTTAGCAAACAAGAAAATTAGAAATCTTCTTGACGAATTCTATGCATATGGAAGAACTCAAGAAATTAGCAAGGAAAAATGACAAGATTGCTGAACCAGGAAAGACATACTTAACCACACTACCCATAATGAAAATTTAAGTAGAAAGTAAATAGAAGGCTGTTGATGCCTTGAATAGAATGATCTACATCTTAATTTATATGTCGGCTAAATTAATTGGACTTGAGCAATTGAAGAGAGATTATTCAAGATGCAAATATTTCAGCTAATACAGGTTGCATTAATGGCTGGACAGTAAGGTGAATATCCACTCTATTCCATACATGATGGTTATCTATTTAAAGACACTCTCTTTTGTCTTCAAAGCACCTGATCTCTTCTTTATCAAGACTCAAGGGATGAAGCAGTATTGGACCTACATTCTGGTGAGCAGGGAATCAGGGAATGTGACAAAATAGTTACCTATTCGTAGATTATCATTTTTTCTTCCAAGTACTTCCATCTCTTGTTAATCAAGACTCGAGATGAAAATATCCTTGGACTCGCATTATGGACTTTATTGATGTGACAAAACTATAGTGAAGGAGGAAGATATAGTTTATTGGCCAAGTTTGAGAGCATAAGTAGAATGTTTTGTTCAACAACTCTACACTTCCAATTTCATGAATTCCATCTGAAAATTATATTTAGCAAAGAAATCTACAAACAAAATTAGCATTCAAGATAAGCAGATTTCAGAGATGATAAATGTTTACTGCTAATATCTGACCTGAATGATTTCCTACAAGCACTTTCAAGAAACTACATTTGAGGGGAGTAGAACCTTCCAAAACTAAAGGGAATCAGTTCTAATGATAATGTTTTGGAGTTACCTAAAGATTTAAGATTAGTATAATGTTCAATGTAATCTTACCACTTATCATGGTCCTAATGGTGTCACAAAAATGCAAAGGATTGCTACACATCAAGAAAGCAAAATAAATAAATAAATAAATAAATAAAAATTGAAGAACCTCAAAAAGACCAAATTGTATCAACCAAAGAAGATGGGTTCCAAAAGTTCCTAATCCCAGCTGCGGTTACAATTTAAGGGGGAAAATTTTGGAATCTGCTCCGCCTTCTCTAAGTCTAGACTTTCTTACTGATATAATATTCTTTTTTAACTTTTTATAGCTAGGGTATGCAACAATTACTGATTTTGCAGTCGGAACTGATTTGAAAAACATAAAATTTTATCTCGAGCCTCCCATAGCCAAGTCTAAGATTTTAGATTTGCCTCAAACCAAAGAAAGTTGGAGTAAAGCTTAAACATCAGCTTGCTTTGATTAGAAAGCAATCTTCATCCTACATTTTCACGGACCCAGACAACAAAAGTGTATCCAAAAAAACAAGGCACCCTAAGAAGAAAAAAGGGTTTTTATTCCTTACGAATGAGACAACTGTAACCCAAGACGATGAATCATGAAAGCCTACACACACAAAAAAGATTCAAAACAACAGTCGATGGATTTTCAATCAGAAACAAACAACAATTACAAACAGAGATGAAAATGGCACCCAAACGGAGATAAGTCGATGGAATTTCAAAAATGCATGTTGCTGCGAAAATGGCACACAAATGGATGGTTTTGGATCACGAAAAGGACAGAGTGCAAAGAAGAAGAGAGACATACATGTTGGTGTCTGGAAACAGGCGACAGCGGCGTGATGCTTCACTTGTGACGATTACTGCAGATGCAAAAACAAAGATATCGCGATGGAAACGGGAAAACAAGGGTATTTTAGCCCTTAACACACGGAATGAAAGAATATCTAACGGGTGTGGGGGAATAACATTCCCAGGAATATTCACTGTTGGGAAATAAATATTATCTTCACTTGGGAAAGAATACTCAACCAAACATGGGTATCCTTGGTTAGGAAAAAAATATTCCTACCGTGAATCCTAAAATCCTCCATCCAAACGCATTGTAAAAAAGAAACTCGGAGATGCATAAAGAATGAATTTAAAAAAAAACTGATAAATTTTAAATCATTTCCTAGAACTGGTGGAAGTAGACAACAAAACCGATAAAAAAGGGAAACACAACTAGTTGGTTTAGAATATGTTGCACTGATACGGATACGGGGACGGATACTAGGATAGGGACGGAAACAAGAAACGGCAATTTCTAAAATTACAAGGTATGGAGACGGCAAGGGTACATCATATAAAATAATTTTAAAATTATAAATAGATATAAAAAATTATAAATAAAGTCAAATATCAAGACTCAAACCACAATATTAAATTTATAACATAAAATCCATAAATAAATCACAATATTAAAATGTCAAATCTCAAGATTCAAACCACAATATTAACTCTAGAATAATAAAATCCATAATCAAACTATAATATTAAAGTGTTAAATCTTAAGACTGAAACCATAATATTAAGTCTAGAAAAATATTAAACAACACAAATCAAACATTGTTAACATCTTCCGAGATTAACCCGCTCTCTAAATCTTTGATTAGGGTGTGATTGGGCACCCAAAAATATTTTTTCATTTTACATTTTGCCGGTTAACCATAGTATTTGGTTCGCTAATAACCCAAATGGGAAACGGGGGGAAAATAACAGTCAAAATTCTCTTGGTTCATCTTCGATTACTGAATCTTAATCCCAGTCAGTGAGCTCGAGTTTTGACTCAGGGGGCCTCCACTCTTCTTTCTCCACCTTTTCCTTCACTTTATCATTAGAGCTCTTAGACAAAACAAATATAGACTCGTCCAATTCTGCATCTTCAACTAAGTTTCTCAGCATTGCACATGGAAAACCAGATGAAAACAACAAAAAGGGAAATAGAGATGATTGTACCTGAGTACTGGAAAGGGGATTTGGAAATTTCGAACAAAGCTGCAAATGACGTCCCCGAAACGTCCCCAGCGAGCACCGAAACGTCTCCCGTATCGTTCAGCCGTACCCTGTCAGGCTGTCACTGTGGCATGTCTCCGGTGCGTACCCCGGCCGTCCCCGTGCCAGGGACGTTTCGGGTACTTGAAACGCCCTTCCTCTACCGTCCCCATGCAACATAGGGTTTAGAGATTGAGTTGGACGGGTCACCACCATAATGGACCTCTATAGAACCCGATCCGGATTAGGATTAGTTAGTCAATGGGTTGGATACAAGTAGATATGTCCAAAAAAAACAAATATGCCGAGAGACCCAAGATTTCGTGCGCATACTTTACAAAAGAAATTCAAATATGGGTTTAGAGTTTAGTTTTAACTATACATGAAATCACCCATCCAATCCAAGACACCAATGCAAAAGAGGTTCATTACATATATATATGATCATAGATGGAGAGGTAACTAAAGGTTGTAAAGAACTTTGAAGTGTAAAGCACAGAGAAATATGAAACAGAATTTGTATGTACAACAGACTTCGGATTAATGAAATAACAAATGAAGTTGCAGACTAGACCACATATACTTGCAGAAATAAAATTCAAATTACATTATTTGCAACTTTGGTTTGCAAATGCTGAAATAATCATCCAAGTCATATGCTCATTCTAAACAATTACCTTTTAATGTGCAGATGAAGATATATTCCCAAATAATATGCATTCAATAATATAAATCTTCATTCAATAGAAACTATCCTTGGCCATTTCAGCAGAAAACATGAGATATTTCCACTCTTTGAGTGATATAAGATGATCAGCCAAATAAGCTCAAGAAGACATCAATAGCATAAAAGGCCTGTAAATCAAGCTGACTGTATGAAGGCGATCCAAGCTTTTCTCACAATAGAGTGGAACTCTATCAACTATAGACCTGCTAGAAAGTATAGAGACATTGAAATCCTATCCGTTCGTAACATTAAAATCCATGTAAGAAAATTTGAGGGTATTTACCACACCCGTGCTCTTGATGCAAAGGGGAACCACATAGCCGGCAACCAGTGCATATAAGATCTTCAGCTAAACTTCCTGCTAATAAACATATTTTCAGATTCAGATTCTCCTATGTGCCTCCAAGTAATCGGCAGAAAAGTATCTCCAACAGAAGCACTAAATATTGCCTTACAGTGACTGTTCAGGCACAAAACCTCTGAAAGTGAGGGACATTCTCTCAATTTATTCGGTTCTGGCACTTTACAGTTTCTGGATAGTCGCCTCTTCTGAAGTGAAATCAAACATATATATTATTGAAAACATTTAGAACAAATATAGTCAAACATGGATTAAATAACAGCAATACACTATACTTATAGACCAAAAGGATAAATAAGCAAAGGGAAAAGGCATAGTAATCTAATTTGCTACACTTTATCAGCCGAGTTTTAAAAACGAGCAATAAATTTGTCACAAAGCAAACAAATTCAGTATCAAGTTGCATAAAATAGGACAAACATTCACTTCTATTCAAGTACGAGCAATTTTAGCAAGACTACATAATTCACAACAAGACATCTCAAAATATGTGATAATGAAAGGAAGATTACCAAAATTGAAAATCATGATGAAAGGGTTATTTTCAAGTTCCTCAAATAGCAAGTGCTACAAAAACACGAGACTCTCGTATAAAATATAGAAGAGAGGAACAAATACTTGATGATCATACGGGTCAACATTCTCAATAGCATAATATCCGGTCCTCTGCACCCATTCCATAACCTTGGAAAGCTTTTCTTTGACCACTATTCCCATTTTACACTCTGCTACTAATTCAATTGCACCTACAACAAAGTATGAAAACAAGGCTCCACTTATAACGAGCTTCTATTGTTTAATAATTGAATTCACACTCTTATTAAAATATCACACACACACACATGTATAAATGAATAAAAGACCGTTATATTGAAACAAGAAACTTCAGTCATACTCTTTGAAACAAGGGACTGGTAAGGGTGGACTTGACAGAGTCCAGATGACCAGTCATCACTTATGGCCTCGAAAACATCTCGGAATTTTGTAATCTTGACATCTGAGATTAAAGCACAAATATAGAGTATCACAAATTTAAACGGAATTAATAGTGAAATAATCTAAAAGACTAAGAAGTTAAACTAGTCAGTGTACTTTGCAATAAGACGATGTCGCCAGCAGCAGCGATTGATCGCAGTTATTTTTTCAACAAGGAGACGGAGAAAAAGGGTTGAGTGTCATCGCCCACCTGAATGTCCGTCCTGGTTATTTCTCCTCCTTTAGATAATTTATACTTTCGTTTCACCCACACGGAGTTGTTAGAAATCACAATTATTGAAGAAAAAAAGACAAAACAAAGACCCACGCATTTGAACAGAGGGAGAGATTAGAGAAACCTGAACAGGAGTGGAACGGTGAACGAAAACCAGAAGCTGGACGAAGTGATCCGTATGATGAGAAGCTTCTGCGAGATCGATCAACGGTCCGTAACACGATGTCATTGCTTCTCACCATTGTCAGCCTTATGTTTGAGATTAAGTTTAAACCTTCATTTTCTTTAATCGAGGTTTGGATTTGCCGAAAGATTCAGTTAGGGCACTGAGCTTTCCAGATTCATATGTTCTTTTGTTATCCGTTTTCCACGGCACTTGAAGTATTTTTTTGTTATTTATTTCGATTCGTAAGGTTATAAATGTTATTATTTTAATTGTGTAAATCGTCAACAACACTGATTTTTTTACATCTGTTATAATATGATACTTTTAAAGTTTATTTTGAAAATTATTAAAATATTATTTTTCAAAAAAACCTCATTTTTTTAAATATCAAAATAACTCAAACTCTTACAACTCTTATTCTTATTTCATTTACTCCAACTATTGGTTATCTAACCACCCATTCTACTACAATCAATCACGCATACATCGTCTACCATTAAATGATCGATCACAACTTTTATTATTATCTCAAAACTCAAAATTCTCAAATCCCTAAATTTCAATCTCTAATCCTTAGGATCTCAAATACTCAATATCTTAAATTCTTTTAGTCGATTGTGATAATTGACCGTTTAACCAACTGTGATAGCCGACCGTTTAATTCATCGTTTGGCCTTTGACCGTTTAGTCATGGAAATGCCATGAAAGTAGGGGAGGGAAAGGGGTGGGACTCGAGCAAGGGAAATTTTTTTAATAATATTTTTAATTTTAAGAAATATAAAAATTCTAAAATTCTAAAATTATGACACATATCATTTAACGTAAGAAATTACCGTCGTTGATGGCCTGACAGTGGCGGATGCACTAAGCTCCAATAGGGGTCAAGTGCATCCCATTATTTTAAAAAGTGGTAAAATATAGCTTAATGTGTTAAGGAAAAAAGAAAAAAAATTATAATTTTTGCATACCCATTATTTTTAAAGAAAGAAAATTAAATTTTTGGACCCCCATTCTTAAATTTCTAGATCCGCCACTGTGGCCTGGACACATAAAATGGTAGCATTTGTAACGATAGATATTGGGATGAGTCAAACGTTAGACACCGAGATTATTCAAAAAATATTTTATGCACCTATTCGTAAAAAATAATATAGTTTGGGCATTTATTTTATATTTAAGCCTTTGTTATACTACAGTGTCTAGGATGGTAAAGTAGCTAAGTCGAGTTTGAGTATTGTTGAGTTAGATTCGATTTAAAATTTTTGAAATTAAGTTCGATTAGACACTTGTTATCCAAAATTTTTTAAACTCCACCTAGAATCAATAATTGAAACTCAACTTGAACTTGAACCTAAATCTTAAATACATGAAAATCTTATATTATATATTTTTGTTAATATTATTAATAATTTAATTTGAAAAATCTAAAATTTTAATATATTACCTTTTAATAACAATCAAACTTTTTGAATCGAGTATTAAGTAATTCGTTTTAACTCATTAAAAATTCAAGTCGAACTTGAACTCAAATCGAGTCTATTCAATTCGAGTATAGACCAAACTTTAACCAAATCAATCATTTACTATTTGTCTATCTCATTTATTGTCTATGTTCTTATCTACAGTGAACTATTTCCTAATTCATACGAAATTCATTAGCACTCAACTAAAATTATACTTTTCTTTTCTGATATAATTTTAAATTAAATAAATTAAAAATTATTACCTGAAAATTAAACATAAAATATACACTGATAAATTTAAATATAAGTCAGTTATCACACCGATAAATTATTTACTTAAATAAATTTTAATGAATATGTATTTTGTTTCTTATTTATATCACTGATTTTATGAAAGAATATATATATATATATATATATATATATATATATATATATATATGATTGTTATAACATGATTATATAAGCGTCATTCAAGGAAAGTTAACTGAAGAAAGTTATACGAATGTCTGATTAAAAAAAAACAAAGAATCTGTAAACAAAGTAAATAAGCCACCCAAACTTCAACAAAAAAAAAAAAAACATTCGGGCTGCAGTCTAGCGTATCAAGCATTGAACCGATTCCTAAGCTCGGTCTCGAATGCTTTTGAGTAGTTACTCGAGGTAAACATTAGTTGAAACTTGCCGATCAAAACACGGGCCAATTCCTAAAGAGCAGCTATTTTGTTATAAACCCCCACAAACACCCAAAATCAAACCACCTGATCCCAACCCACACCGTTGTATCTACACCACATAAGCTATACACTACTTCCTTGTCTACAACAGAACCTCTTCATTCCATACAAGGTTCCGTTACCTTTGTCTAACTCACAGCTCCTTCAATACTACTTAGCTGCCCTCATCTAAAACACGAGTTACTTCAAATATGAACTCATGTACAAGCGTACCCCAATCTCAAGGGGTCCATCATCACCACCAATTGCATACAGCGCCACAGGAATTGTTGAAAGCATACGCACCGTTAGAGGAAAAGTTCCGGGATCAACCCGAGACTTCGAGGTTGGCTCTGCCCCACCCTTCGGTGTGCATGTTGCATCACATTCATCGATACTATCTGTTTCCATACTTAGATCGTAAGGATTTACGACCCATGCAGCGTTTCCAAGAGACATGTAATTCCCAGGGCCACCTCTCTTGAACAAACGTTTGTGGCCAGATAAACTAAGCACCAGCGTTGAGGTAGACCCCAGCCATTCTACAGTTAACCCTTCAACTTCATCATAGTGTATTCTCCTCTCAATCTGAAAGTGCAGAAACATGAGCACCCAAACCATGCGCAGTATGATGGAATTATATGAATACAAAATAAATCACTTACAGCCAGTTTCTGAATATAAACAGACATAAATCTTGGGCCCAATCCCAATACTCTAGCATCAGACAACAAAATCTGAGAAAACAAACAAAAGGAGGGGGGGAAATCAGTCGCAAAAGCAATCTCAACCACAACAAAATGGAATAAGCATAAAAGGAAACAATCACTAAACATCCACATCTTCATATGTTTACCAACTACAAGATTAAGAAAAAAGAATATTGAACAGAATGATCTATACAGCAAAAGTGATGTGCAATGGTAATAAAGGCCAAACAATCAGTAATAACTTAATTTCTTGGAACATTACACTCGGGAAGATTAAAGCAAGATCATTTTCTTGAGTAGTCAAAACGCTCGTGAAAACAAGCTAACATAGACTTTAAGAATTGAACGGGAATAAAAATTATCATAGCTAGGGAAGCTTACCATATCTCAAGTGGTAGCCATTTATCTTACATGTCAATAAAGCTATGTAACATATAAAGGAAAAAGCATAAACAAGAAAAGTAATTGCATACCTTCCATTTCTTCAGCAAATACCACATATAGAGTTTCTCACAGGCATCCTCGGCATGCCTACTGGCCAGCTTTCTCTCATTACAATATGCAGCAACATCACCAAGTAGTTCAGAGGAAGGAATTCCATGCTTCAATGCAGCACTTGACAATGCATCCTTCCCTTGTGAACTCTGCAGCTTCCTTATCAAAATAAATACCAGAGAAACACTTTCTACACACTTCCTCCCCATTGTTACCTTTAAGCGCCTTTCTATGCTTCATATATAGCGCCTCCGCTTCAATTACTGCTGCCAATGTCCGATGTACAACAATGTCTGGATAGCGACGTAGCGGTGAAGTGAAATGTGTATAGAGAGGAACAGCCAACCCATAATGACCCCATTCATTTAGATTCTCTTTTAACTGTCCACTGCAAAAGTAACTAGCCAATTGCATTGGTTTTGAAGCATACGAGATGAGAATATCAAAAAGAACAGAATCATCCTTGAGTTTTTCCTTTAATTTTTCCAAAGATTGGTTAAGCTGACTGGAAGAGGAAGTATCCAATGCTAGACCTTGTTTGCGACAAAAAGCTTCAAACTCTTTAAGCTTCCTCATATTAGGTTCAGGATGTCTTCGCAATAATGCACTATGGGGAAAAGCTCTAGATATTACTTCTGCAGCTGTCATATTTGCCAAAAGCATGAACTCCTCAACAAGAAAATTTGAATCCATAAGCTCACTTAGACTGCTATCATATGGAACCCCATCTTCATCAAATAGATAAACAACTTTAGTGCTTTCAAGCTGTAGAGCACCACCACTAAATCTTTTCTCCTTCAAATTTTTTGAAATTTCACGAAGACATTTAATAGATCTAATAACATCAGCCCATTCAAATTTTCCATGCAACTGCGGCAATCCTTCTAAAGTGTTAGATTTCTCCAGATCAGTTACCCCTTGAATGATGTCTTGTGCATGCTTATATGACAGCTTACAACAAGACCTTATCACTGTACGGCCAATCCAACGATCCAAAACATCCCCCATGTTGTTTAATTCCCAAAACATAGAAAAGGCAAACCTATCAACTCCAGGATTAAGTGAGCCAAGCTCTTCTGAAAGCAAAGATGGCAACATTTGTATTTTCCTTTGCAACAAGTACACGCTGGTTGATCGAATACGAGCTTCCACATCTAAGGCTGTGTTTGGTAACACAAAGTACGACACATCCGCAATGTGTACACCTACTCTAAAAGTGTCCTTGGATAACTTTTCAATAGATAAAGCATCATCAAGTTCAGATACAGTGGTAGGGTCAATAGTAAACACACACAAATCTCTAAGGTCTTTTCTAGTTTGAAATTCCTTGGGCGGGATTTTCCAAGGAATACTTGGAAGACAAGAAAGTACTTGAGGAGGAAAATCAGCACAATGAATTGCATTTTGAAATAGAATTGCATTGATTTGAGATTCCAATTCACTGCCCCGTCCAAAAGAACGAGAGACATGAGCTCGTGGAAAAGGACTTTCAGCACTCCAATCTTCAATTCGGGAAGCAAGCAACTCCATCTCAACTGTCACATCACCATCTGCCAACCTTTTCTGTATAGAGTCTGGTAAGTCTCTCACAAAAACGATCATTTTGGGAAATCTTGGATCAGTTGGGGTCAAAGTAACATACTCATTGTCAAAAGTAGCAGAATTTTTCTGTGCGTCTTTTCTATCAAGTTCTCGATAGGAAAGCCACTGCTTAACATTAAGAAAGCCGACAATAGCATCACGTCGAACAGACTTTTCAACAATTGCAACAACCTTTGCAGTAGGCCGTTTCAGAGGGTATCGACTAGTCATGGCAGCCAATGTATCCACTGAATTTATGCATTCATTCTGCACAGGTAAAAGACCCACATGCAAAGACTCTGAACCATATTGGTGATGCCCGTTAACATGGTTGTATGCTTCTGCTTTGGTCACTGGAGTTTCATTATAAACCCCTTTCTCAAGTGGCACTCCACTTCTACCATTACCATACTCACATTCTGCATCAACTATACCTTTACCTTTGTAGCTATTATCAGCTACCTCATTGACTTCTTGGACTATGTTACAATCTTCTACCACTGTAGACTTGTTTGAGGACTCATTTGACCCTTTCATCTTGGTCCACAATCCTAAGGGATCAACCTTAATAACCACAGTATCTCCCTCAACCTATAAGAAAGGATAAATATATTGGCAATTATTAGACTAACCCCAATATACACTAGTAGGCTAGCCTATATAAAGAAACATTAGCATTTACAATAACATAAAGAACATAAACCCAGAGAATCTGAGATTATCATACTTACAGCTCTATTCTGTGAAGAAATTCCACTGACAAGAACATCCGTAGGTACCCCATCGATTTTGCAATATGCCTAGTGGTATATTACAGTCTCCCATGTCAGCATACAAGATTTATCATGTGAGTTTCATCATAAAACAAACAAAAGTTTAGCAACCACAAACCTCGAGTCGGTTGTGAGCATTCACATGAAACAATGCTTTGAAAGCTTCGCCTTTCTGCAAAAGAGTTGAACATCAAGAGAACCAATCGAGAAACAAACACAGAAATAAAACTGATGAGCCTGTAACCTAAACCATATATATTCATCCAAAAAATAATAAAAATTAGGAGAATTAGGTACACAGTTATTACTAGTTTTTATTAGATGAGCGATTTACATGTGAATTGTATTTTTTTAATGTAAAACTATGAACTATCTACAAATTATAATACAATGGGACATAACTGATAATGAATAGTAAATTGTTTCGCCAAATTTAAATGTTCAATTTATATACATTAATAAACCCACACATTTTCATATGATCCTACACTAGGAAATGATGGTTTACTCTTCGATGATAAGATTTGAACTTGAAATCTCCGACTTGGAAATAGAGTTCAAAACTTCAAACCCCTAAGGTATCTCCTTAGGTATTTTAAAAGCCCTTTTATTAAACAAATAATGTCAATTCAAGTTTCCCAACTTTTGGTATTTATCACTTTCTTATAGGCTATTTTATTCTTATAGAACACTTAGAATGTAGATGTTTGATGAATAAAAAATACTTGTAAATTCAATAATAATTTGATAGTACAAAAAAGAAATCAATTATAAGAGCAAATTTTGAACAAACCTCCAAAGCATCCTTTACAGCCTCTATATGCCAGTGTGTAGCAAACAGCTTCTTTCTCATAAAACCCTCAAACTGGAAGAATGGAGATGACACCGGATAGGCAATTGATTCAGGACACGTGTTGGAAAAAGTTCCACCATCAATAGCAGTATCATCAGAACCAAAGCCAACTCGTTCATTTATATGCATTGTAGCATAGAAGTAAAACCAACATATGCTCTAACGGGAGTCTGTTCAATGGAAGCCATCTCCAGCCCTTGTTTGGACGAAGAACGATTCACAGATGTCAACCCATTAGTTTTGTCTTCACTTTTAAAGCCATCTGATGTTTCTCCTCGTGCTTCGTTCGCTGAATTACACGCTATATCCCCACAAAGATCAAAATTATGAAGCCAAAATCAGATCCCATTTCAATAAATCTAAAAAAACATACTAACCATTGAATAGCAAAACTCCAATACCGTAAAAGGAATCCACCACAGTTCAAGGACTACCCAGTAGAAAACTAAAAGTCTATACTTAAAGAGACACCCATTAAAAGTTAAAACATAAATAGAACTCACAATAATTGTAGAATAGCCTAGTAGAAGAACAGAAAAACCTACTCAGTTCTAAGAAATACCAGTAAACTCACAAAAATAAATTCATTTCAATTGACAAATTAAAGATTTTTAACAGGAAACTTTAGTTTCAGGAATAAGAATAATACCCGAGTTATGTTTGGATCGACGATTGGATCGTCGTTTTTTCTTCTTCTCCTTATCAGCATCCTCAACCCTCTCAACAACCACAGATGGCTCTGCCACACCGCTACCTCCCTTCATAATTTCTCTTGATTAAAACGTAAAAAAAAACACACACACAAAACTAAAACCCTAGATCAAATAAAAACTCGGACAACTTCCAATGGGTTTAAAAAATAAATATAGGAAGGTACCGAACAAACGAAAAAGGAATTAAAAAACGAATGGAAAAAGGGTTAGGGTTTTAAAAAAGTTTCAAGACAGGGGGAAAATAAAATTGATTTTAATAGAGATAGAGAAAGAGTGTGTGGAAGTGGAAGAGATAATGAGGTGAAGATTGGTCGGTGGAAGCATTGGGCGCCGACAACGATTCCTTTGTCGTCCCTCTTTCCTTTTCCCTCTTCTTTTGTTTTCCTTTGTTTTTTCTTTACTTTCAATTTCTCGCTCTCTGGGTTTCATTTCTCTTATATTTTCCCTCGTTTTCTTTCCGTTAGGGAAGAAAAGAGCGCGTGAAGTTGGGTCAGGAATACAGCTACCGCCACCTGTCATATTTTGAGGGGTAAATTCCCACGCTTTGGTTTGGTGTTCGGTTACATCTGAGCTTCGGTTCGATATAATTTCTAGGGTAAACTACATATTTGGCAACTGAACTTTAATCTCTCTACTATTTTACTCATCGTATTTTCATTTCTTTCAATTTACTAATTAACTTTATAGATTAAATATTTTGGTCACGCTGTCCTTAATAGCATTATGACATGTCACATTTGAATCAAAATGATGTTGTTTTAGTCTAAATTTTTTTTTAAGAATTCAAAACGATATGTTTTGATGTAAGTTGTCATGTCTTAACTTTATTTAATTATTTAACGACAGAGTGACAAAAAAAATTAATCTATAAAATTTAATGAGTAAATTGCAAATAGTCAAAGTACATGAGTTAAATAGAGAGAGCGTAAAGTTAAGTTACCAAACAAGTAATTTATCCTAACTTTTAAGAGTAATTAAGACATGGCTAAACTACAAATATAATTCTTCGACTATATGATGATTTCTATTTCGGTCATCTGATTATAAAACTTATAAAATGGTCACTTAACTAATTAAAAGTTATCAAATAGTTCGTTTCTATTATTTTTAACTCAGTTGTATAGTTAAAAATCTAGTCCTTAATATTTATATAATTATAAATTAATTTTAATTTTTAAATATTTAAAAATTATATCAATTTAATCATTTGATTACATTTTTTTTATAAAGACACGCTTCATGTACATGTAAGATCCACGTGCAACAGTTTTATCGTTCTTACAATAAATACATAGATGTTATCATAATTTCACCCTCTTTTGTTAAGTCGAAGAAATCCAAATAAAATTAAAATGTGAGAACAACAAAATATGATATCAAATAATACATCAATAAACAAAGATGGTATAGAGCCACCTCCCTTATACCAAAAGGCTTAGGAATACCTTCACCATATACCTCGTTATAAGAGTCATCAATCCGTTTTTAGTTTTGGTTAAATGGTGTTTAGATAAAAATAATAGTTGGCTATGGAGGATGGAGAAGACGATATAAAAATGATGAAAATTTGATTATAGGATTACAAGCTTAATAGATGTGATTATTCAACTTTGAGTTTATCAGAGATTTTATCTATGCATTATAGTTGATTAAAAGTTTATATTCAAAGGATTTGATCGAAATCTTAAAATAATCGCCCATTAAATTCAATTGAACAGAAACTCAAAGATTTTCGAATGTATCAAATTATTTCTTCGTTTTGGATTAAATTTAAGATAAAATTTAAAAGTTTACGTTGACGTTGATTTTGGGTTATCATTAAAATAATTTAATATTTTATTAAATTAAATTGTAAAAATATAATTTTTGATATTTTAAATTATATTTAAATAAATAATTTATCTTTTTAATCTAACCTAACTATGAGTCATCATCTATCATTAATCTATTACGATAAAGCTTATCACTTAATTTGGAGCTATGTCCCATATCAAAGTTGAAAATAAGAAATAAAATAATTTTAACAACGTTATTTATTAAAAAAATATTTAAACAATTTATGATATTTACATTTTTTTTAAAATGAATAATAAATACACTCAATCATATTTAAATTTATAATTTTAAGATGTCAATTGAACCTATAACTTAATCTCAGTGGTAAAAAAAAGTTTTTTAGAAGTTTTGGGTTTAAACAACTATGCCTGTAGAGTTTATATATATTGCCAAGAATTAAAAAATGATTATGGATAAATATCACCATATATCACATAAACTACTAAAAAATATTAATTCAATTAACATTTAATTGATTTAATTTATGTAAAATTAATTATATTTATACCTTTAATTATAGTACGAGTAATGTTTGGTCAAAAGTAAATTTTCAATGCTCTTGTACCAATATAACAAAAGCCGGCAAAAAGTCATGATGGACGGTTCCTATTTTCCACTGTGGACCTTGTTGGTTACTTTACATGTGCTTTTGTTCGAAATATACAAGTAGAAGTGATAGAATTTTGAAATTATTAACATTTTTTAGGAAAAAAAATAATGATTAGGTATGGCCCTTTTATAAATTTAATAAAGTTTTAATTAATCTAAATTTATAAAATCAAATGATTTTTAAAAATTAGGCTTAAAATAAAATCGCAACGCGAACTGGAAAATCGCAACGCGAACTGGAAAATCGCAACGCGAAATGAAAAATCGCAACGTGATTTTCAATTATCGCAACGCGAATTTGCGATAGTGGAGATCGCAATACGAATTAGAGATCGCATTGCGATTTTGTTGGTCATTTTCGCAAATCCAAAAAAATTGATCAAAATCGTATATTATCTGATTTTTTGGTCACTGAGATTATTTTCTCTAAAATATATTTGATCTAAATCGATCTAAGATAATAATAATAAAATCTTTTACATGTGTTAGAATAATTAATGTGATATATTATTTATATTTTAAAATTGAATTTCTATTTTAATAAAGAATTTATTTTAAATTTATGTCAAATCTCTCTAACACTAGGTGATGTCGAGTTTTGAGTAGAAAATATAATTTTTGAGTCAGATCATATTGATAAAAAATTCAACCTAACTCTACCTATAACCCTCCTTAGTAATAATTTAGAGTGTTTTTTTATTAGTTTATGATGTGATTATAAGACAATATTTGTTCACAATTGTAACACCCATATATGTCTCGAAATACGAATTATAAATGTTACATCAACACTACATACATTCATTGATGATATACGCTTAAATTTTTGATCCATTCTTTAAACACTTCTTTATCAGCTTTAAAACTTTTTCGTTAATTGTATAAAATCATTAAATAATATTTGAACATTCAAAATGAATCAAATTTTATGCAGCAATTAGGCATTTTAGTGTTGTTTTATAAATTATATATAACTGCCTAAACACTGCTAAATTATGAACCCATTTAAAGACAAATCCGATAAAGCAATGTACATATATAATATGCATGCAACTAGTAAGTCAAAGATAGGATGTCTTAATGATTTTGATATTAGGTATGATTTTCTGAAAGATGCTCAAAAGACCCTCACTTCACGTTCCTTTCTCTGACTGAACCTACACATGAAAATCATCAGGCGCTAAGTAAAAACTTAGTGAGACAGTAACATAACTAAAGTCAAATAAAACATAAATTTCATAAAGTATTATAAACATAAAGTTTAATTTAAACAAAACATTAAAACTTTCAAACTGGCCTATTCAAGTTGTATTCCCCTTGAAAACCTGAAAATCATCATCTCATGATTTTATCAAAATCATGTGAATCAACATTAATTATAATAAACAATTCATATTCTTTTCATTTGTGCATATTTCAAAATATTCATTTCATTTTCATATTCTTTTCTTTCACATACTTATCATAATTTCACATTTACTTTTATAGCTCAATATATGTAAGAAATGCAAGGTACACGTGAGTAGACGAGTGTGCGCAAAAAATACTTCAGTGCTATCATCAAAGCAGACTATGCACCCCAAGTGCAATCATATAATCTACACCAACGGTGCTATACATAATGTACACAATCATAATCATAATCACTCTACCTTATGACATGACAATTGTACCTACAACTCTCAAAGCAACAACAATGGACTTTTAAATCATATCACATTCATTTAATAACCAATATGTCAAAAATCGGAATCATTTTAATTTATTGTCGTAAAATAGAAACTTGGGCAGTTCATACCCTAAATATAAATCATCCATAAAACTTTATATAACGTTATGTAAATAATCAATATTTAAATTAGAAACTATACTTTAAATAATATTAGGTTGACTTTTCACAAGTCGTCCTCAATCAGAATAATTAAATAAATAAACTTCATTCACTTTGACACTTTATTTATGAGTCAAAATATAAGCCTCACTAAGTTTTAGATTTAATTACTTGCTTTAAAAGCTTTAACTACCTAATTTATCAAAATTTCATATTCTGACAATTTGCACTACCTTCAAAGAAGTATAATTATGTATTAATATACATATTTAAAAATTATCATGTTTACACCAATAAAAACTAGACTCGAATACAAATATAACCATATAAGACTCTTCTTCTAATTCAATTGGTACGATTTATAGCGAATTTTCAAAACTGACTTACAAAAATTGTTTTGAGCAGAATCCGCTGCCCTATTTTCTAACTTATCATCGATTAAAAAATTCATATATTTTTTTATGCTTCTTGAAATCAGTAGGTGTTTGTTTTAAAAGAAACTATACTGATCTGCGAATCCAATGGTATAGATATCATATTATAATAATTTTGTATAATTTATGGTGATTTTCTAAACTTACTATTAGAATCATAATTTCTAGGCAGCTTTGCTTAATCAACATTCTTAGTTTAATCCATAATCTATTAGCTTACCGAATGAGCATATATGCACGAATCACCAATCACATATTATTTAGGAGTCACTTCTTACCGTAGTAACTACGTTACTGGCACATCGCAAGCCAATTGTTCGTTCAATAACATAAATACAAATTCAATATACATTCACCTTTGTCCCACTATCGACCCTTCTCCACGATAATCTTCTCAGTTCCGCATCTTTTTTGTCCCTTTCGAATTACTTAGATCATTAAATTTATCGTAGTCTGACTACATCATATAATAACATAAAATATTCAAAATATATGTTAGTATCGAATTAACATAATCTAAGCTTAAATATTAATTCGATAGAAATAATAGATACTTAAATCGATATAAAACTAAATCATATTTTCCATCAAGATTTAAAACTTCTAAAAAATGCTTATTTAATTCCATAAATATTTATTTTCATCATCCATCCCTCTACTTTTACCAATTCACAATCGAATCACCATTTATGATTTTTTTTTAGAATTCAT